CTGTACTCAGTAACCTGTACTCAGTTACCTGTACTCAGTTATCTGTACTCAGTAACCTGTACTCAGTTACCTGTACTCAGTTATCTGTACTCAGTAACCTGTACTCAGTTACCTGTACTCAGTTACCTGTACTCAGTTACCTGTACTCAGTTACCTGTACTCAGTTACCTGTACTCAGTTACCTGTACTCAGTTACCTGTACTCAGTTACCTGTATTCACCAGTACTCAGTTACCAGTACTCAGTTAGCTGTATTCACTTACCTGTACTCAGTTACCTGTACTCAGTTACCTGTACTCAGTTACCTGTACTCAGTTACCTGTACTCAGTTACCTGTACTCAGTTACCTGTACTCAGTTACCTGTACTCAGTTACCTGTACTCAGTTACCTGTACTCAGTTACCTGTCCTCAGTTACCTGTACTCAGTTACCTCTACTCAGTTACCTGTCCTCAGTTACCTGTATTTTACTCACCTCTGCCCCAAAGACCACAGAGAAACTGTTCATTTTTGAACTCTGGACCCACAGCAGTCGTTTGTCACCACCGTGTCTTGTCCAATCAGAACTCCTGTGATGATGCTGTGATGAGGGAAAGGTCAACGGTTGGTTGCATCGTTCTTAGGAGCCGGTGTCACAGTCACTGACCCTGACTTTAAAAATGACTGGCCTTCAATACATTGATGTATGTGTGACTATACTTGTGGGGACATTTTGTCCTAATGGGGACATTTTGCGTCTTTGTCTTTGTGGGTGAGAGTGTATTTTAAGTGAGTGTATTTATAAGTCCAAGATTTTGGATTAGGGTTAGGATTAAGGATTGAGATTAGAAATATATTTCGGAATCGTTGCTCCTCGTCGTATGTGTGTGTGTGTGTACAAAAATGAATTCATATTTTTTCTACTCTGTATAGACGACACACACACACACACCCCCCCCCCCCTTTTCTTTTTCCAAGCCCTCCCCCCCCCCCCCCCCCTGTATTGACTGACTCTAATGAATGAATCTCCTCCGCTCAAAGACTTTGCAGGAATGTGTGTCTTTTTCCTAGTAATTGTTTTGTGTGTGTGTGCACGTGTGTGTTATTGATCCTGCGTTGCTGCTTTGCATCAGTTCAGGTAATGAAGATGACCGTGTGTGTGTGTGTGTGTGTGTGTGTATGAATGTAATCCTTTTCTCTCTCTCTGACAGTGTCTTTGGTAAAGATTTTTTAATTTTTTTTTCAGTTTCCTTTCCCTGATGTTTGTCTTTGTCTGTGCGTCTCCGTCCTCTCCTCCTGCTCTGTTTCTTCTCCCTTCTTGTCCCTTCCTCACCTTCCCTCACTCCTCGCTCTACTTCTTCTTCTACTGTTTCATTCCTTCACTTCATCTGGCTTTCCTCACACCTCCGCGGCCCCTGCTCCTCCTCACCTGTTTAAACATTCTTTCACCTCCTCTGCCTGGTTTTATCTCTCCATCGTTGTTTACTTCCCCTCCTTCTTCACCTCCTCCCCCTCAGTCACTTTTGTCCTTCTCTTTGTTTTTTTACTCTTTCCTCATCTTTTTTTAAGTTTTCTTTTCTCCCCTCCTCCTTGCCCTTCTCCCCCTCCGTCTCCTCCGTCTCCTCCGTCTCCTCCTGCTCCTTCTCCTCCTCCTAGTTGACCTTTGCAGTAATTGACCCATCAGTTGCTCTTCTACAGTTTAGTGCTGGAGGTTTTGACTTCCTGTCAGAGAGTCTCCACATCTGCTGCAGGACGCCGACAAACAACCATGACCTTTGGAGGAGCATCCTGACACCCAGACTCTCTCTCTGTGTGTGTGTGTGTGTGTGGCTGACCATCTCCCTGTGTGTTGGTGAACATTACTTGGTGTGTTTTTGGACGACTCCTCTCTTTTAGCTCTACAGGAGTGTGTGTGTGTGTGTGTTTGCACATGTGCATATGGTCGGTGTGTTCAACAGTGTGGTGTGTTTGTCTGACAGTCTGCTGCATGTGTGTATTTGTGCGAGTGCCAGTATGCGTGTGTGTGTGTGTGACCCTCTTCGACACCTGGCTATTCATTATGCATGCAGAGAAGAACAGACACCAAAATGCCATACTTCATGAGCAAGTCAACAAACAACAAATAACACACACACACACTGCTGCTGCTTTGCATTGAAAATAGTTTATATTAATATCATGGTCAAACTGGTTGACTGGAGTCTAACTGAAAACATCCTTATTATTATACTTATATTTATAATCTGTTAAAAAACCAAAATAACGACATGACAGTAAGATATCAGTTACACTTGTAAAGTTTAAAGCACTGCCACACTTTAAGATTGGTTCTATATAAAAACCAGAGATTGTGACCCACTCACTTCCATTTAAATCAAATGCAGTAACACAAACTCACCATATGTGGCAGCAGTGATCCCTGGTATTTGTCTTTAGTTAAGTCTCTAAACTGAGCTGATGTGTCGTCCCTGCTGGTGGTCATGTAACGTGGGCACTGAGCCTTGGTGTCAGGCTCCTCCAGCAGCAGGGGGCGCTGTGTTGGTGTGAGACAGTGAGAGACAGAGGTGGGGGTGTCCTGTGGTTATGATCTGCCTCATCACTGCAGCCATTGATGTTTTGATGGTGCTGCCTGCAGAGTGGGCTGA